CAGAATTTTCATTTTTGGGCGAACTAACCCTTTAACTACAGATGAAGACAAAGGGAGGTAAAGTGTCAGTAAACAGAATAGATAACAGCAATTCAGAGCAGTTACACTCAAATACTGGACAAAGAAACCTATTGAAAAGGGTTAGTTCACCCAAAAATGCACATTCTGTCATTATTTACTCACCCTCATGTTGTTCCAAAACCCATATGACTTCCTATTTTTCTGTATGACATTCTGCTCTCTTCAATACAATGAATGTAAATGGAAACCAGGGTCTGTCATGCTCCAATATAAATTAAAAAATGCACCATAAAAGCATCTTAAAACTAGGCCAAATGTATTTTGTGCTTCTAAAATCATATAATAGCTTTTTAAAATTTGAGTCATTAGTCAATGAAAACTGCTTGGTATCATTGGTCACCATTCACTTTCGTTGTATGTAAAAGAGCAGCCAGGACAGTCTGCAATAAATATGAATTTTGTGTTCCAGAGAAATAGCCACATACTATTTAAAACGTACAGGTAAAAGGGCGAGTAAATTACAGATTTTTCATTTTGGGGGTGAACTAGTCCTTTAAGTTGTACTACCCGTTTTAAAAAAAAAATACATCCTTCTAAAATTTGGGGGGAAAGTCAGTAAGGAGTTTTCTGGCTTTCTTTTCTCACCAAATTTGCTGTGGATGTAACTGAAAAGAAGTAACTATTTACCTTAAAAAGGCAAAACCTAATGTAAGGTGTTCTTTCGTTTACTTAAGCCTGATTTAAAGGCAAATAGACCACAATACCTTGCCTTCTCAGAGGCTTTTAAGACCTAATTAGTCTCTTGTGCCTTTCCAGGCAGATGAGAGGACTACAAATACACAGAGTCAGAAAACCAAGGAATATTCTCTTTTGAACCTACTGAGAAGTCACAGAGGGAAACTGGCATAGAAAAAACTAATGAAAATTTTAAGGAGAATAAGGCCATGCAAAACTTATCATGAGAAGCCAGGATGCGCCTTCAATAGAGCAAGGGGAAGTTTGAGTCAGACCATTATACGTTTATAAAACCTTATGTTTAGCTGGTTACGGTATGTAAATGCATTAATGAAATCATCTCAGGTTTGACAAGTTGTCGCAAGGTGTGCATTGAAGCTGAACAGAACAGCAAGTTTTCTGTCACTCCTACTCAAATGTTTGACAGAGCGAGTTAGAACAGTGCAGATAACGGATGTGATAATTGACGAAAATTATAATGTGACCATATCGGTGCCAGTTGGAGCATGTTGTCAGTCATCCCTTCAAAACACTGTAGGCTGTTTCTTTGATATTCAACATATCAATCAATACATTTCCGGAAGGAAATATCAGTGCATGCCAGGCAGAAAAAGAAGACCAATCACAATTCAGTATGCAAATATGACAATGACATCAACAATCAATTAGAATTTCAATACTGTATCATTGTAAGCCAAAGGAAGACTTTCAAAGGTTAGGAAAATTTTGTCAAATAAATTAAGCAACAAAAATAAGTGAATACACACAGTTTGGCATGTACTTGTAAGGAAATATTTGTATCAGAAACAATGTTTAAGAAGGTACACGAAGAAAGACAAAAACAAATATAATGTATACTGCACTGACATCCTTTTTTGTTTGCATGCAAACACCGAGACAGTATAAAGAAGAGGGTTAAAATAATAGAAATGTGTATGATGAAAATCACATACAACGATACAGTACAAGACAGTGAGCCAACAGCTCACAGTAGTATGAGGGTTGCAGGCCACTGCCCCCTGTAGGAGAGCAAAAGTACTTTACCTTCTTCCCATGCATTCTTTCATTTCCTTTCATCTGCCTCCACCTCAGTATGTCATTATTTGTGAGTGTGTGTAGGTGTGAATTTGTATAGATATGCAAATAAAGAGCAAGTCTAGGCTAAATTAGTCTGATAACCATGATCCAAAGTGCTTTGGCTTTTTGTATCACTGTGGGACAAGACATCTTTACATAATCAGGATCACTTCAAATCCCCATTTACACACTCAAACAGTAAAAGGCAAATTTTCATTATAAAGCTCTTCAGGTAAAATTTATTTAACTTGCTTCAAGTAAATTTATCTTGTTTTAATTATTTTTTAGATATTTTTACTATATATATGATGAAAACAACAAAAATAAAATTATTATTTTTGCAGTGTATCCTATGGAGATGATGGAAAAAGAAGACAGACGACAGAAAAACTGGGTCAAAGATATGCATTTCATAACTATTGTATTTTATGTGTTTTACAAAAAGTTCACCCACTTTGTGTTGGCTCACAAAAATCTCAAATCTGCTTGTCAACAACAGTTATTATAATGCAGTGTACTGCATGTGTCCAGTGTGAATGCAACTGCTTTTGTTTTTGAAATAGAGCATGACTGACAGCGAGAGATGCGAAGATGAGGTTTTTTTTTAGCTCTCGGAAATGCTAAGTATTGAGCTGTGTGTTCTGAAGACATAACATTTCCATCTCTCTTCATTCCATCCTCCTCATCCGTCACGTACAGCGTCTGGCTATTGTCACTTTTAATTTAAAACTGCTGCAAGGCCCACAACTACAGCCTCTTATTCCAAAACAGCCTTGTCTCTCTGCTCACAAAGACCGTTAGCCAAATACGAGACTATGAACCGCGCATTAGGGACACATTAACATTCTCCTGTCTGCACCATCTGTGCACTCAAGCAGCGAAACCTTGCTGCTGGCAAAAAGATATCCATGTAGCAATTTTGCATTTGGTCTTCTGAAATCTAACAGGCAGCTTACATTAATAATATATACAGGAGTGATTACTGAACATGCAGCAGCTCTTAGGTAGCACTGATGGTCTCTAGTAGAGGTGAACTGTTATAGAACTGTAATATTATCTAATGTGTAAACGCTATTATAAGACCAGAGGACGGAAGGTACAGAATTTCTGCATCAGAGACCAAGTCTGCAATCACCTCGAAACTGGAACATGCTGGAAATGTCAGATGGACAATTTCATTGTTTTCATGTAGATTTACCCTCTGTAGTTTGCTACAGGCAGTTAAAGAGGTGATAAAGTATGCTGTTTGGATATATGATGACATGAAGTTATCAAACTATAAAAACACAGTCAGAAAGATGCTAGGAGATGCTGTTTTTTTTTAGTTTAAATTACGTTTTTTAAGCATACTTCATAAATTCATTATATTCTGAAGCACTGTATAAAAAATCTTAAATGAGATTTTTGAAAAAGAACTGATCAAAATTAGAAAACACTTAAAGATACCTACAAGTTATTGGTGTTAATATGGCACCTGGTGCTAATTTCTTTAATTATATGACAAACCCCTTTTAACTGGCAGCATTCCTCTAATTTTCACTGAGATGGCAGACACTCTAAGGTGGTTGTGCAGATGAAGGCCAAAGGGATGACCCTCAGCCATTGCAAGAGAAGCAGGTCATTCCAAATCTGTGATTTCTAGAATACTGCAGCTTTACAATGACACTAATTCATTCAAGTCCCGCAAAAAGGCTGGAGAGAGGAGAACTCGTCCAAAGTTCACTTTAGTGATGAAAGCAAGATTAATTCCTCAATTGTAAGTCGCTTTGGCTAAAAGCATCTGCTAAATGAATAAATGTAAATTTAATTTATTTGGGTCTGATGGGAAACATTATGTTCGGTGTCAAGCTGGGGAAAGACTGAAGCCCAAGTGCGTAAAGAAGTCAGTGAAAGGTGGAGGAGGAAGTGTCATGGTTTGGGGGATATTTTCTGCAGCAGGAGTTGGGCTCTTATACAGCTACATTGAGGGTGAATCCAAATGTTTATCTGAACCTTCTTCAGCAACATGCAGTTCCTTCCCTGCAAGCATCTCCCAATCAGCCTGCAATTTTCATGCAAGACAATGCCCCCGTCACACTGAGAAACTGGTAAAGCAGATCCTTGAAGCTAAGAACACTGAAATAATGAAATGGCCAGCCCAGAGTCCTAATCTAAACCCAACTGAAAATTTCTGGAAAATACTTGGCAACAATGGCTAAAAAACCCACTACAGTCACCGAACTATGGAAGAGAGTGGAAGAAAAGTGGACCAAGATCACACCAGCGCAGTGTGAGAAACTAGTGATGTCCTGTGCACTCTTAAAAATAAAGGTGCTTCAAAAGGTTCTTCAAGCGATGCCATTGAAGAACCATTTTTGGTTCCACAAAGAACCATTCAGTCAAAGGTTCTATAAAGAACCATCTCTTTCTTACCTTTTTATAATCTGAAGAACCTTCTTTCGCCCCAAATAACCTTTTGTGAAACAGAAAGGTTCTTCAGATGTTAAAGGTTCTTTATGGAACCATTTAGACAAAAAGGTTCTTCTATGGCATCGTGAAGCACCTTTATTTTTAAGAGTGTGGCTTCAAAGCAGGGGCCTCTACAATTCCTACTAATTTCTGACAGCTGTAACCCTCCAAAATTTTAGTTGTAAACTTCTTTCGTGCTACAGTAGTTACTTTTCTCTAATTTTGATCACTATGTTATCCAAAAAATAAAGGTTTTTGTTGAAATGCTTTGGATATTTTGTCAAAAATGTTAGTAAAGCTAATATTCCTTCAATTTTTGAGCTATGAAGATTAACAATATTTCAGAAAAAAAGGAATTATTTATAGATTGTTCTCTCATTTTGATCTTCACTGTGTGTATATATATATATATATATATATAGATGACACTTTCAAATATTTAAATATTGACCTTTATTTAAAAAAATAAAATTAAATAAAAAAATAAATAAATAAAAATGACAAAAACTTATTCTAAAGCTTAACCTAAAATTAAAACAATAATAATCGAACAATACAAGCCAATTCAAAATATTAATAAATATAATAAATGAATAACATAATTATAGCAAACCTAGTATGAATTCAGTTTAGACCATTTCTTGATTTTTAATGTCCTGTCACTTCACTGACCCATCAATACAAATGTCAAAAGGAATATTTTTCCTCATTAAAAAGTTTTAGACAAAGAATATGAATACTTTTGAAAATATGAATAGCTGAACACTCATCTGATCTCTGTAATCCTCCTGTTATTGGAAACATTAGATAGTGGAGAAAATGTATCATAGCTGACTGCAAATTTGCATTTCTAACATTACTAGCTAAAACTTATGACCTTGTGTGATGCTGAAATACATCCACAACGCTAGGTGTCCCTATAGGTCCATTATGACTACTGTATCAGCCAGCTAGTCATTGTTGGGTATGTAAAGATCCAGGGGTGCTAACAACTAATTTTAGTACTTTGATTCCTAATATGTCCTCTCATTGTGCAGATAATCCTGGTTATTAGCAAACACTTCATATATGCACTAGTCGTCGCCTACAGTGACCAGCGTCTGCCATTACATGTCATAGTTTTAAGCCTTTAATTGGAGCTTTAACGCCAACTTCTCCCCTCTCGATATTTTCACAGCCTTTAAACCCAGCTGAGACAGCGCTTTCAGGCACATTTATATGCCAACATGAAGATTCTTACCTTTGTTCTGCTTGTGGCCCTCCATGAATTATTCACCCGGCAATGGTATTGATCTGATCTTGTTGGCTTAGTCGATGAGCAAAAGACTATAATTACAATCAAGCCACACTTAAAAATGCTTATGGCAGTTTTATGTGCTACTGTTGCACCAAAATTATCAGGAACAACAGCTCCTGGGTCCATGAAAACTTAATTAATAGGCTGGGCTAATTAGCAGAGGAGGTGATTCATAGGAAGGAGAGTGCAATAAACTGCAAATTTGATGGAAACATGTTGATTTACACTAATTAAAGGAAGGATATGATGTTAATACTAGTGGTTGACTGATATGGCTGGCTGATATAACTCTTTCCCCGTCAGCATTTTTAAAAATCGTTTCCGGTTTGAGTGTACGCTGGCATGTCTGTCTGCTGCTGCTCTCAGGTACTATTTTCTACTTGTTTATGGACTTCTTGGACATTTATTTTTCGTAATCTTCTTCCCTTTCCCTCATTGGCCTATTGCAAGCCTTCGATCCCCCCATACCCCCAGTTTGTTGCGTATAGACCCATGGGTAATTCTCCACTTTCTCTCTGGTCTGTTACTTGCTACTACATTTTGGGTTTTAAAGGTCTGGGGCATTCTTTTCCAGTCTGCTCTTTTCCTACCCAAGGATTTTTCTGGGTGGTTCTTGTGGTGTTCAGGCTTGCGCGTTCTCTAACATGGCCATGCAGACTGGATAGAAAGAGTGTTGTTTCTGTGCTTGCCTTTTTTTTTCAGCTCTTTTACTGTGCAAGGCAGGTCAGCTATAGCCGTTTTAGTGTTCCTCACAATATTTTTTCTGCAATGTTTTTTTTGCTACTTATCTGCCGAGTTTGATCATATATCAGTCCATTTGGTTGTTTGTATTTTTTCTAGTCTTTTATTTTGTTTTAATTCTGTTGTATATTTCCTCTACAGCACTTTGGCTTCACCATCTGTTGTTTTTAAATGTGCTTTATAATAAATCAGTAAACAAAACTAAAAAAGTTCCCAGCCACCGCAGCAACATTTTGAACAAAGCTGAGAAAATCAGGTTTTTGTAAAAGATTACGGCTGGATCAGATTCAGGATGATGATCAAAACATAGATGGAATAGATCGCTTCTATCAACACATCCAAAGCTTGCACGGTCCTAAACCACTTCCTGGATTGTCATTTCATTCAGTAATCTTAGGCAGTTTTGATTTATATAATGATTAATGTTTGATGTTCGCGTTATTTTACATATACATCTGCTTACATATGCGATCGCTTGTTTCTGCTTCTTCCTCACCGTGTTTTGATCCAGACATTCAATACTCTTTCAGAAGACGTGTACTAGCGGAAAACACGGAAAGATGGAAATTTCCATCAGTGGCGTGGAAAGAGATAATAATTATCTTTAAAAAGTTGGGGGTCAGTAAGGGGTTTTTTTTTTTTTTTTTTTTCGAAGTCTCTGGTGCTCACCAAGGCTGCGTAAATACATATAACTTTTAATGTTACAAGAGATTTTTATTTTTAAAAATTACAGTTCTTTTGAATTTTCTATTCATTGGATAATTTTGAAAATCTCGGGTTTCCACAAACATATTAAGCAGTACAACTCTTTTTAACATTGATAATAGTAAGAAATGTTTCTTAAGCACCAAAGCAGCATATTAGAATGATTAAAATTAAAATTCAGCTTTACAATTACATTTATAAACTACATTTTAAAATGTATTAAAATAGAAAACACACATATATATACAGTGGGTACGGAAAGTATTCAGACCCCCTTAAATTTTTCACTCTTTGTTATATTGCTCACCAGAAGATCAGGTTATTACGAGGTAAAAAAAAAATTAAACATGCATGGCTCACAATAAGAATCATAACATAAGAAAATTGATGAAAATGAGAATTTTCATTTCATTTCATTCTTTTCAGCAGAGACTCTCTTAGTATACTTTCACTATAGATGACATATATTTTGCCTTCTTTTCGTTCAAATTATCTTGAAAAACTATATACTGTAACACCATCACTGAAAACCTGACAACATAAAGAATTATGGATGTCAGAAATGAGTGTGACAGCTGTCATCTGAAACTCTTTGTAGCTGATTGCCCATTTAGAGCCCTGCTGCTTAATTCAACTCTTTACCTCAGAGTCCTTGGTTGTGAGACAGCTCTCTTTTTCATTCTGTTATCTCATCAAGCACTTCCTTGTCTCTTTCGCTTCATCCAGCTCTCTCTCTCGCTCAGGTGAGCATGACGTCAAACTAAATATTTTCTGCTCACCTTCACTGTCCCCAATGTCCACAGAGAGAAGCTAGATCACAATGAGCATGCAGTCTCACAAGTGCTTAGCTGCTTTGGTGTTAATTAATTTGTATGTCAGCCTATAAATACACTTGTGACCAAGCAAATAACATGAAAAGGATAAATCAGTGACTGGCATATGGCTGATAACCATGTGAAGTCTACACTCCCAGTTAAGGACCATAAAACCCGTAATTTAGTGAGAATGATTAAAGAAGAGTCATATTTTATTAAACAGCAGGATAATGTACCATCTCAGCACTGCATCGGATATGACATATTCTACTGCTGCTAAGAGCAACACAGTGGCTTCTTACAATATTCATATCTAATCTCTAAAGAGATCATATAATACAAAATTACTTTTTTCTTTTGAAATAAGAGAGATTGGTATACATTACTATGTATACATACGGCAAGTCTCAGAACTGTCACAACTTCTTTCCCTCTATTATTTCCGAAAATCTTCCCCTTTGCATGTTTTTGAAAGAAGCCTCTTATGCTCATCAGGGCTGCAATTATTTGATCAAAAATACAGTAAAACTATAATATTGTGAAATATTATTACAATTTAAAGTATATTTTAATCAATTTAAAAATGTAATTTATTCACGTGATGCAAAGCCGAATTTGCAGCAGCCATTACTCTAGTCTTCATTGTCACATGATCCTTCAGAAATCATTCTAATATGCAGATTTTTTGCTAAAGAAATCAGACCGAGATGCATTTTTTAGGATTCTTTGATGAATAGAAAGTTCAAAAGAACCACATTTCTTTTAAATAAAAATATTAATTTAAAAAAAGTTTAATTCTAAGGGTCAAAACCTTGGGAAAAGAAACTCTTAAGTGGACCACAGGGGGAAAAAAAGTGTCAAAAATGCATGACATGACCGTTTAATGCTCTTATAAGTTGGTAAAAGAACTACAGAAAAAGCCATTACCTCATTACACACTGTAAGATCATGTACAATATTATAACACACTTGACAGTCCTAAAGAGTAGCATTGCCATTATTGGGTAGTGATTGCCATGGCAATCATCTTAATGACACACTTAACAGCCAATACTAACAGAGCCATGACAACAGAAGAAAGCATGTTTCAGCTGCAGAAGAGTCCAAGCTGTTGCATATAAGTAATCAGAGTGCGGAGTTATTGATTTTGCCTTTGATTATCTCGTCTACAGCGTCAATTCCATTGACTGACAGAGTGAAGTTGGAAAAGGACTGCTCACCTGATGGGCATCTAGATCGATGATGGTGGCCCTGGCAACTCCCTCCACCCTCTCAAAGAGAAACTGCAGAGGGAAACACACAAGGGAAGCAGTTAGGTTGTGCCTGACAGAGGAACAAATTGCAAAGAGGTTTGTGGATCTCATGACATAGCAACAATGTGTGGAATGAATGTGGAAAAAAAGAAATCAATGGATGAGTTTCAGTAAAAAGATGTTACATGAATACCGAACATGATATCTGTACCCATGAGTCCATGCAGGATTTTTTTTAATGAAAGGATAAATTCAGATGCTGGTTTGTTTGAGAGAGAGAAATGCTACATGAATTTCCACAGTAAAAAGGTTCAATGATATGTTTATGCAAGTAATCCTCTTATCTTTAGTCTGTTTATTTCTTAAATAGAGTAAAATTACATTACTTTTTAACATGAGCAAACAGCAACTATACTGAATATGATCTAAGCAAATCCACAACCCAAAAATGCTAATTTCCAAAGTAAAAATGTTAGCCAATAACAACAGCATGTTTAAATAAGAGTCATAAAGTTACAGTAGTAAAACAATACTATATTTGATTTATTTGGAGATGTTCGTCATCAACTGATTTAGCTCCTTATGTAGTTTAAAAAAAAAACTGACTACTGTATATGCATTTAAAAACTATTTTCCAAAGTTTTTTTTATTATTCATTATTCTTTATTCACTTATTTTAAATATATGATATTATTTTTTTATATTTATTCATAAAAATATATTCTTAAATGACTGAATAATAATTTTGAATAAAAAGAGCTGAGTAAAAAACTATTCACTCAAACGTTAGTAAATCGCGTTGCATGATTCATTTTAATACTCTCCTCCCATAAATTTTGCGTCTGAAATGTCAGGCACAAATATAACGGTCCACGCCTTTTCAGCGCTAATTCTTCACTGCGTGTTAATTAGTCAATCCTGACAGTACTATTTTACCACCAAAAGACGGTTTGCGCTGGTGCAAGCTGTTAGTAAATCTGGCCCATAAACTGTTCAAGCCACTGAGAATTTTTAATATTATTCATAATTCATTCATATTATTTACAACTGTTTTACATGACTAATAAATTGCTAATAGGGGCCCATTTTGCAATCTCTAATGTTCTGATGCAAACATCCCACCTTGATAGCTAGTGTGATGTCAGCGTAGGCACAGAAACCTCCTCCTTTGTCACTAGAGCAGTGGTGGAAGCCTCCTCCTGCAAGAAAAGCAGAAAGGAGCCTTTAAAACATTGCCTCAATGAATGCTGTATAAAAATGGTACCTGTTTTCCAGTGCCACTAAAGCCCTATTCGCACAGGGATTAGTATTACTTGGTGACTTCCAGTCATTTGTAATTATTGCGGAGGTTGTCTGTGATCTTAATCCCATGCGAATCCACCATGTCTGTAATTTGTAAAGTAAAAATTCCCCCGCAAATGACCTACCATATTTCGCCGAACACCGAGGTCCTGTGCTAATATTAGTCCCGTGTGAATCGGCATCTCTGTGATTCGGCCAGCATTTGGCGGGTCGCATATCATTTTTCGAGGTTTTTGTTTGCTGTGCGCCTTTTTATCCATCTTTCGCGAAGAATGGAGCTGCGTTGGAGTGTTTGATAGTATTTTGGGTGCTGTCATCATATCGCTACACCATACAATTTGCAGAAAGAGAAAGCTGAAAAGGTTTTGAGGTTAATGTGGTACAAATAAATCAAGCATAAAGCTTGAGATATTATTTTAACCTGGTGAAATGTAAATGACACAGCGCACCAAACTATATTAGTTTATTTTTTTTAAATCCATCTGGACCATAGAACGGGACTCTCAAAGCCTTGACATCCGGGTATCCGGGAGACAAGTCAGTAAATTCGAGAAAAAACACAGGCTTCGCTTATCCCATGCGAATGCACCCCACGAAATTCATATGTGGGGGGGTAATTTCAAAATCACACAAGGTCCCCAGATAATACTAATCCCGTGCGAATAGGGCTTTTGATAGCGTGCAGACTTTTTTCCAAGCTCTTCACCTTTGGAATAATGTGGGTAACCAAACAGTTGCTGGTCCCCCACTGACTTTAATAGTAGGAAGAAAAAAAAAAAGAAAGTCACTGGGGACCAGCAACTGTTTAGTTTCCCACATTCTTCAAAATAACTTTTTATGCTCAACAGATATATATATATAAAATAAATAAGTAAATAATAAAAAACAAATTGTGAATTATTAATTGACAGATCTGCAACTAACAAACTTTTGCTTATCGGCAAGAGGGTGACAGTCTTAAAACAGCCAAATATCATCTGATTTAACATCCTATAGCAGATATATATAAGTTTATCACTAATTAAGACAACAACTGTGATCACAATTATCATTATAATTAAAAAATAATAATAACTCAATTGTGGTTCAATATGAATATTTCTACACCTACACTGCTCGATTGTAAGAAAGGGACAGGGTTCAAGCGGACTAAATATAAAGGGACAGGGTTCCGGCACACAGTACCAGAGAGAAGTCATTTTACTAGAAGATCAAGTTATGACATGATTTTAATAAAAAAATAATGAGGTAAAATAAAATTAAACAGCCATGGTTAACCATAACATATCAAAACTGATGGAAAAATTTCAGTTCATTTCATTTTTTTCAGCAAAGATCTTTCACTATAGGTGACATATATTTTGCTTTCTTGATTCAAATTATCTTGAAAAACTATAAAGCACCCATATTACCTCACTGAAAACCTGAAACATAAAGAATTACAGATGTCTCAGAAGTGATGAGTGTGACAGCTGTCATCTGAAACTCTTTGCAGCTGATTGCCCATTTAGAGCTCTGCTTCTTAATTCAACTCTTTACCTCAGAGTCCTTGGTTGTGAGACAGTTCTCTTTTTTAATTCTGTTATCTCATCAAGCACTTCCTTGTCTCTTTCGCTTCATCCAGCTCTCCTCTCGCTCGGGTGACCATGACGTCAAACCAAATATTTTCTGCTCACCTTCACAATCCCCAATGTCCACAGAGAGAAGCTAGGTCACAATGAACATGCATTCTCACAAGTGCTTGCTTAGCTGCTTTGGTGTTAATTAGTTTGTAAGTCAGCCTATAAACACTTGTGACCAAGCAAATATCAAGATGATAAGCATAAAATCAATGACTGGCATATGGCTGATATCCATGTGAAGTCTACACTCTTGGTTAAGGATCATAAAACCTGTAATTTAGTGAGAATGATTAAAGAAGGGTCATATTTTATTAATGAGTGGGATAATTTACCATCTCAGCACTGCATTGGATATGACATATTCTACTGCTGCTAAGACCAACAGAGTGGCTTCTTACAATATTCATATCTGGTCTCTAAAGGGGTCATATCATGCAAAATTATTTTTTCTGGATCTACAGAAACTACAGAAAAAGCCATTACCTCATTACACACTGTAAGATCATGTACAATATTATAACACACTTGACAGTCCTAAAGAGTAGCATTGCCATTATTGGGTAGTGATTGCCATGGCAATCATCTTAATGACACACTTAACAGCCAATACTAACAGAGCCATGACAACAGAAGAAAGCATGTTTCAGCTGCAGAAGAGTCCAAGCTGTTGCATATAAGTAATCAGAGTGCGGAGTTATTGATTTTGCCTTTGATTATCTCGTCTACAGCGTCAATTCCATTGACTGACAGAGTGAAGTTGGAAAAGGACTGCTCACCTGATGGGCATCTAGATCGATGATGGTGGCCCTGGCAACTCCCTCCACCCTCTCAAAGAGAAACTGCAGAGGGAAACACACAAGGGAAGCAGTTAGGTTGTGCCTGACAGAGGAACAAATTGCAAAGAGGTTTGTGGATCTCATGACATAGCAACAATGTGTGGAATGAATGTGGAAAAAAAGAAATCAATGGATGAGTTTCAGTAAAAAGATGTTACATGAATACCGAACATGATATCTGTACCCATGAGTCCATGCAGGATTTTTTTTAATGAAAGGATAAATTCAGATGCTGGTTTGTTTGAGAGAGAGAAATGCTACATGAATTTCCACAGTAAAAAGGTTCAATGATATGTTTATGCAAGTAATCCTCTTATCTTTAGTCTGTTTATTTCTTAAATAGAGTAAAATTACATTACTTTTTAACATGAGCAAACAGCAACTATACTGAATATGATCTAAGCAAATCCACAACCCAAAAATGCTAATTTCCAAAGTAAAAATGTTAGCCAATAACAACAGCATGTTTAAATAAGAGTCATAAAGTTACAGTAGTAAAACAATACTATATTTGATTTATTTGGAGATGTTCGTCATCAACTGATTTAGCTCCTTATGTAGTTTAAAAAAAAAACTGACTACTGTATATGCATTTAAAAACTATTTTCCAAAGTTTTTTTTATTATTCATTATTCTTTATTCACTTATTTTAAATATATGATATTATTTTTTTATATTTATTCATAAAAATATATTCTTAAATGACTGAATAATAATTTTGAATAAAAAGAGCTGAGTAAAAAACTATTCACTCAAACGTTAGTAAATCGCGTTGCATGATTCATTTTAATACTCTCCTCCCATAAATTTTGCGTCTGAAATGTCAGGCACAAATATAACGGTCCACGCCTTTTCAGCGCTAATTCTTCACTGCGTGTTAATTAGTCAATCCTGACAGTACTATTTTACCACCAAAAGACGGTTTGCGCTGGTGCAAGCTGTTAGTAAATCTGGCCCATAAACTGTTCAAGCCACTGAGAATTTTTAATATTATTCATAATTCATTCATATTATTTACAACTGTTTTACATGACTAATAAATTGCTAATAGGGGCCCATTTTGCAATCTCTAATGTTCTGATGCAAACATCCCACCTTGATAGCTAGTGTGATGTCAGCGTAGGCACAGAAACCTCCTCCTTTGTCACTAGAGCAGTGGTGGAAGCCTCCTCCTGCAAGAAAAGCAGAAAGGAGCCTTTAAAACATTGCCTCAATGAATGCTGTATAAAAATGGTACCTGTTTTCCAGTGCCACTAAAGCCCTATTCGCACAGGGATTAGTATTACTTGGTGACTTCCAGTCATTTGTAATTATTGCGGAGGTTGTCTGTGATCTTAATCCCATGCGAATCCACCATGTCTGTAATTTGTAAAGTAAAAATTCCCCCGCAAATGACCTACCATATTTCGCCGAACACCGAGGTACTGTGCTCTCAAAGCCTTGACATCCGGGTATCCGGGAGACAAGTCGGTAAATTCGAGAAAAAACACAGGCTTCGCTTATCCCATGCGAATGCACCCCACGAAATTCATATGTGGGGGGGTAATTTCAAAATCACACAAGGTCCCCAGATGATACTAATCCCGTGCGAATAGGGCTTAAGAATCTGAATGTTCCCTCAAAATGTGGGTGATTGAGAGACTAGCTTTTAATTAGGATCATATTTATACATTCAGTCAACAGATCCAATCTGTCCTCCCATGACCTGACACATTTAGCCTCATTAAATGACTTTGCACTCCGGAAACTTCTCTATGGGAGCGGGCCGGTTGCTGATTAGCATTTATTGCTTATTCACATGACCCTGCTTGCTGATTCACACCTTTCAATTACTGTGCAACACCCTCCAAGGAACAATGCGTGCATTTGAATGAATAGTCGTCCATTGTCTTTTAATGTTTAGCAATGAAGAGGCAAAGAGCCACTCTGTTTCTCAGCGGCAAGAAGGAAATGGCTGAGCTAGCAGAAGCTTCGCTTTTTCTCCTACTTTCTTCAGAAATGAGGATGAGAATAGTATAGTGAATGCATTGATATGTAGCCATCTTTGGGGAATTTTGCAGTATTTGCAGCACGTGTATTGTCAAACTGATGAATATGTTTTCTTAATTTGCTGGTGTTTTTTCTATTTGCATGTGTTTATTCATTTGCAGCGCATTGAGCTCTCTCGGCCACCGTAAAAATAGGGCATTGTCTCTCAATGCTAATAAGTTCAGTGGCGACTTAATTAGAGGGAATTTGTTGTGACTAAGTAATATTAGGATGTTTTAGAATCACTACTTTAAATGATCAATAGTTTGTCTTAGATGGAATTAAATATACAGGGAGCACAGCAAATCCATAAGCCACAGTAAGATGCACTTATTCTCTCGGCAATTGTTTTTCGACTGATGATTGCGAACATTACAAAGAGAACTCACCCACATTTATTGCCCATCCTCGATCCATTGCCAGCTTTCCAGCCTAGGTAAATAAAAAAGAGAGAGAGAGAACACTTTGCTTTCATGGGCTCATTTTCCAGCTGGCATTTTTCCCCTTTCGAGTCATCAATAAATTAACAGAAAAACAGAAATCTGTTCACATGCCGGATAAATCAAAAGCAGAGTAACTTAGCGCTAAAGCTGAGGGAGGATACAACATTATCTGAACTTCTTTCATCTCCAATTACAAATCCTTTCAACTTTAGACAGAAGTTCTGTGCATATAGCGTCTACTAATGATTTAGGAGGGGTTTGTGCAGCTTTTTGTAGAGCCTGTGCATTTCTTATATTTAAACACATTCAGTTTAGTCATTTATTTTAGTTGTTAATGGTTTCCTCATATATTCTTTCCTTAATTCACTTATCTGTCTTCTATCTTAGTTTCTGTTATTATCTCCCATGAACATAGGGAAAATCCAATCTATCAAACACATTTAATGGCAGTGGAATAACAGCAAATGTCTTAAAACTAGCATTTCTATCACAGCAAGGGTTATACATTTGTCTATCACAGATAAGACCATCGTCCAAGAGTGACGCATTCCGATGAGCTTTGCAATAAAAAGAAAACCTGATGCTGCTTTGTTTAAATAATAATCAGATTTTCACTCGTCTTTCAAAATGAGACCAGATCGAGTTTTCTTTTATCATTTCTTCTTGTCATCTAGTTGCCTCCATGAGTCGTTGGAAGCTCTGAGTACTTTGCACTGCAGTGCCACTGAGAGTGGTATAGCCTCGAATAGTTTATGTTGAGAGGCATTTTCATAAATAGCTTTCAGTCTTCAGTGTCCCATGATCCTTCAGAAATCATTCTAATATGCTTACTTGATGCTCAAGAAGCATTTCTTCTTATTATTAATGTTGAAAACAGTTGGGGCTGCTTCATATTTTTGTGAAAACCATGATATTTGATTTCTTTGATGATTGTTCTAAAAAAAAGTAGATTATTATTCAATATTCCTTCTGACTTGTGTTGCTTAATGTATCCTTTATGCGTTCATATATATATATATATATATATATATATATCTTTGGGGAATTTTGCAGTATTTGCAGCACGTGTATTGTCAAACTGATGAATATGTTTTCTTAATTTGCTGGTGTTTTTTCTATTTGCATGTGTTTATTCATTTGCAGCGCATTGAGCTCTCTCGGCCACCGTAAAAATAGGGCATTGTCTCTCAATGCTAATAAGTTCAGTGGCGACTTAATTAGAGGGAATTTGTTGTGACTAAGTAATATTAGGATGTTTTAGAATCACTACTTTAAATGATCAATAGTTTGTCTTAGATGGAATTAAATATACAGGGAGCACAGCAAATCCATAAGCCACAGTAAGATGCACTTATTCTCTCGGCAATTGTTTTTCGACTGATGATTGCGAACATTACAAAGAGAACTCACCCACATTTATTGCCCATCCTCGATCCATTGCCAGCTTTCCAGCCTAGGTAAATAAAAAAGAGAGAGAGAGAACACTTTGCTTTCATGGGCTCATTTTCCAGCTGGCATTTTTCCCCTTTCGAGTCATCAATAAATTAACAGAAAAACAGAAATCTGTTCACATGCCGGATAAATCAAAAGCAGAGTAACTTAGCGCTAAAGCTGAGGGAGGATACAACATTATCTGAACTTCTTTCATCTCCAATTACAAATCCTTTCAACTTTAGACAGAAGTTCTGTGCATATAGCGTCTACTAATGATTTAGGAGGGGTTTGTGCAGCTTTTTGTAGAGCCTGTGCATTTCTTATATTTAAACACATTCAGTTTAGTCATTTATTTTAGTTGTTAATGGTTTCCTCATATATTCTTTCCTTAATTCACTTATCTGTCTTCTATCTTAGTTTCTGTTATTATCTCCCATGAACATAGGGAAAATCCAATCTATCAAACACATTTAATGGCAGTGGAATAACAGCAAATGTCTTAAAACTAGCATTTCTATCACAGCAAGGGTTATACATTTGTCTATCACAGATAAGACCATCGTCCAAGAGTGACGCATTCCGATGAGCTTTGCAATAAAAAGAAAACCTGATGCTGCTTTGTTTAAATAATAATCAGATTTTCACTCGTCTTTCAAAATGAGACCAGATCGAGTTTTCTTTTATCATTTCTTCTTGTCATCTAGTTGCCTCCATGAGTCGTTGGAAGCTCTGAGTACTTTGCACTGCAGTGCCACTGAGAGTGGTATAGCCTCGAATAGTTTATGTTGAGAGGCATTTTCATAAATAGCTTTCAGTCTTCAGTGTCCCATGATCCTTCAGAAATCATTCTAATATGCTTACTTGATGCTCAAGAAGCATTTCTTCTTATTATTAATGTTGAAAACAGTTGGGGCTGCTTCATATTTTTGTGAAAACCATGATATTTGATTTCTTTGATGATTGTTCTAAAAAAAAGTAGATTATTATTCAATATTCCTTCTGACTTGTGTTGCTTAATGTATCCTTTATGCGTTCATATATATATATATATATATATATATATACACACACACACTACACTGGGATACCAACTAATGATAATAATTTTAGACCAATTTAACTGCACTAGAATTGATATACAATCCAGTACACTCATGACACTCTCCTGTGAGTGCATTTAAAGCTACTTTCAGTCATTCGTGAAGTAGAGTGCCAAACTGAGAGGAGAGCTCCACACATGTACACACACACACACAGTGCTCTTGAGCTCAATCCCTTGGCTGCAGCCAGTGCATGGCTTTGCATAAGGAGAAGGTTATCAGTGAGCCTAGAGCCCTGAGCTGTTCCTAGGAGGCACAGCTGAGCTCAACTCAGCTCTATCTTTCCTTTTTAACTTTATCTGGCTCTCCCTCTCCTCTGGGTTTCTATACTGATAGGGGATCCATCAGTAAAACTGCATCAAAAGTTTGAGTCTGCAATCATTTCAATCAATTCAAGGACCAGAGTGCATATAAATTTACTCATGATTAATATTTTATTCAAATCATCCAGTGCTCTCAATTAAACAGAAAAGGCAACATGTCTATACAGTCTATACAAGCCTCTTTGTGGGCCAGTAGTTCACATTTAATTCAGCTGATATATATTAAAAATACAGTAAATACAGCAATACTGTGAAATATTATTACAATTTAAATTTGAATATATTTTAAAATGTCATTCATTCCTGTAATGGCAAAGCTGAATTTTTAGCAGACATTTTTATATTATTTTCTTTTAAGAAATACTTCATACCAGCTATAACGTATCCCAGTTGCTCAGACTTTTACTGGAATATGATGAAATAGTGCAAAACATTATTGATTTATTTACACCAACACTTTCCACCTGATGCAAAGACTTTCACAAGTCACTTGGACACTTTGACAAATCTCCACCTGCGTTTCATTTCACTCCCTAGATCCCTAAGCAGTGTATAAGTATATAATGAACACAAATTTGTATACTCATCTACTAAACATTGGGACAATGATGACTCAAGAAGACATCATTAGAATTTGCTGATTCATACTGGCTCTGGGCCATGCTTATTTTTAAACCTTGATATGTGGCGAAAAAATTTATCCTCTTCAAAATCAAAACAGCTCATATCAATGCTATTTCTAGTCAAACTACCTAAATGACATCATGACCGCTCTGTGAGAAAAGCATCATTTATACAAACATCCACCGCCACATTCTGCATCTCTAAACTCAAGCTTGACTGCACTATTTGTAACTGAAGTAGTGCTATTAAAGCAAAGACAAGTGTGCACATCTGATCTCATTCATAATCATCACATTAAGACTGATAATAAACAAATCCACAACAACAGAACAGAGATTAATGATACGAGTCTGCCCATTATTTCTCCCAACACCCACAATTACACCGTGGATGTTGTCTAACCTTGAACTTCCTTGAGCACTACCTAAGATGGGGACGGCCCGCACAAACTCCCATGTTCCCCGAACCAGAACTACAGCACCATCCAGCCTGTCGACTGCTGACTGAAATGGCAGTCAATTAGCAGGCCGTGAGAAGGGCTCAATGGGAGGTATAATTATGTTCTCGGGCTGAGAGGGACATGTGGAGCACACTCATCACGAGTTCGTCTGCCGCGCAGTGCAGTCTGTCAGAGCACAGATGCACTGTGGAGAACACCTGGCATATTCCAAAGTAGTTTACTACAGTGTTTTACATCACTGGAATAACAGGGAGGATAGAAAAGAGGGAATGGTACTGCTGGTAGAAGATTACCATTAAAATTCATTTCCACTTGTCCATCCTTTTCTCTAAAAAAGCAAACATTTGGGTTACAGTGAGGCACTATATAATAGAAGTGAATGAGGCCAATCAGTAAACATTAAAACAGTGCTTTAATAGTACACAAGGCTTAAGCAATATGATTTTTTCGTGAAAAAAATTGCCTGCTAAGTTGCATTTAGTTTTACAACTTTGTTGCCATGACAACGCAACACCCTAAATCATAAAATAATTTCAGGTGGTAGACCACATAATGCCTCAAATGCTTCAACTAAAAAGAATATGTTAGATTCTATTCAAATCAACAGTTAATCATTTTCAAAGGAACTGGTTCAGTTGTTCTGAAATTTCACAAAGTCTCGCCCTGCCATTACCCTAGCATCGTGGTAGTGATTTTTTACAAGCAAGCACCTCTCATATTTTCCCGAGAAAATGTAAAAATCAATTATTACTATTATTATAGTTAAATGCTGTGACACTTTTTGTCTTGGTAGAAATACCAAATGGTCTTCAAAGTGGTGGCAATTCTCAGTTGGGCTCTCATTGTGTACTTACTGCTTAAATTTAAGCATATAAAATATTTAAATACAACAATTTAAACATCAGAAAGCATTTCTTACAGAGAAAACTGTCATGGGATGAAGTGCACAAACATCCAAGCAGGTTATTAAGATCCAAAAACAGAAACTTCCTCTGAGAAATAAAACACTGAAAACTCATTAGGAATTAAAGTAGCACTCTCAGCCTTTATTTTTTTGTTCCTCTGTTTAACTCCCAAGCAGAAAAGCAGCAAGTAATGTGTCTGTTTCTATGATAGCTTCAAGCGTGGCTGTTATTGTTAATGTGGTAGCGTTACCTGTGAGAAACTCCTCCGAGTGTCTCTAATCACAGATGTTCAGAGCCTTCCCTACCGGCTGTTCCTCCCCAGGTTATTTCAACTTATGCCAATGAGAGGCCCAAACTAGGCCCTTTCTGTCACCAAATGTTCCTATTCCTAGCAAAACTTTGAACAATAGTCCATGGAGCTGGAGCCTGAGCAAGATGACTCACTGTATTACATTCTCCAAGCAGTATAACACCTGGTGTACAAAACCTACTGAAAAAAAATCCTAAAGCAATGTGTACACCATTTCTATTAAAGGAGACATATTATGCCCCTTTTTACAATATGTAATATAAATCTCAGGTGTCCCCAGAATGTGTCTGTGAAGTGTCAGCTCAAAATACCCCACAGATCATTTATTATATCATTTTGTCAAACTTTCACCGTGGCATTAGAGCTGGTAAACCGTTGTCGCTTGCGAAATCAAAATGACGGCTCCGTGGGTGTAAACTTACAGATTAAGGCACGGTAATATTATAATGAGATCCTTTTGCAACGTCACTAGGGAAGCGAAATCAGACGGGCTTGTTTTTTCAGACGCTTGCAGAAAAAGGCTTACCAAAACAAAGTTACTGGGTTAATCTTTTCCACATTGCCTTGGTTGGTAGTTGCACCGGGGACCTGATTATAGCACTTAAAACCTGGAAAAGTCAGATTTTCATGATATGTCACCTTTAAGTATTTCTCTGTAAGCAATTCTCTGATTGGTGGATATTTCCGTTGTTGACCTGATGTACTGCTGCTGAATAAAACCCTGTTAGAGCTTGTACAATCTTAAGACCTGCAGGAACACATGAGACACTACGGTCAATAGACTTTCATGGGCTCATTTTCCAGCTGGCATTTTTCCCCTTTCGAGTCATCAATAAATTAACAGAAAAACAGAAATCTGTTCACATGCCGGATAAATCAAAAGCAGAGTAACTTAGCGCTAAAGCTGAGGGAGGATACAACATTATCTGAACTTCTTTCATCTCCAATTACAAATCCTTTTAACTTTACACAGAAGTTCTGTGCATATAGCGTCTACTAATGATTTAGGAGGGGTTTGTGCAGCTTTTTATAGAGCCTGTGCATTTCTTATATTTAAACACACTCAGTTTAGTAATTTATTTTTAGTTGTTAATGGTTTCCTCATATATTCTTTCCTTAATTCACTTATCTGTCTTCTATCTTAGTTTTGCATTTCTGTTATTATCTCCCATGAACATAGGGAAAATCCAATCTATCAAACACATTTAATGGCAGTGCAATAACAGCAAATGTCTTAAAACTAGCATTTCTATCACAGCAAGGGTTATACATTTGTCTATCACAGATAAGACCATCGTCCAAGAGTGACGCATTCCGATGAGCTTTGCAATAAAAAGAAAACCTGATGCTGCTTTGTTTAAATAATAATCAGATTTTCACTCGTCTTTCAAAATGAGACCAGATCAAGTTTTCTTTTATCATTTCTTCTTGTCATCTAGAAATCACTTAAAACCTGGAAAAGTCAGATTTTCATGATATGTCACCTTTAAAATTTTTCTGTGCTACTTGCTTGAAAACTGCTGCTGAATAAAACCCTGTTAGAGCTTGTACAATCTTAAGACCTACAGGAACACATGAGACACTACTGGATAAACTGAAGGATTTTCTTTTGACTTTTTATTCTTTATGTAAAGATGTGTAATCTATCAGAACCCTATTTGTATTGTATTGATAAAATGTCTTGCTGCTGAACAATAAAAGGAAATTACTTGGGCAGCTATAAAACTTTAAAATCCTGAAAGATTTTTCTTATTCCTTTTGATGCCCTACAGGTGAATTTTATCCTTTTGCTGATCATAGTAGTCTCACTGGGAACTATGTTTTCTATTAAAATAGAAAAGGTCTCACAGTTGTAACTTGAAAGTCTTTATTATAAAGCCACAATTTTTTTCAAGGACCTTTTCAGACATATGCCTGAATTTACTAAAATCTCATTTCGATCAAAGACCTCTAATAAATATTTGCTACACCAGTGTGCAGGACTTTTTCAATTTTTTCCCACTGTATTGACTATGTTCTAAGCACTTGCCTTTGACCGCCCAGATGTGCAAGAGGTTCCAAAACATCTCACTTGTGTTTTATATTATGTTAGGATGATTCTTGTTGCCAGATTGTAAATTGGGATAAAAAACTGCCATTAGAATTCTTTAAGATTTATTTTCATGAGAGAAATTCCAAATGGAATAATGTACACTTTCCTTTAGGATTTTATAGACTAGAGGTCAAGAAAAAAGATAACTAGTAGAAATACAGTATTTGTTACGGATCTCATAGGACATGATAACAGTGCTGGATTATGATATGAAACTGTTCAATAAATCTGAATCCACATGCCATTCCACTGTACTGTACAAAAGAGTTCAGTATGAATTCATAAATTGTGCATGTTTTAATCTCCATATATACATTTCTGGGTAAAATGGATATTTGAAACCTACCATAATGGTTCCTCCCGTTTGTGTTCTCAAAGGTTTTAGAACTTTGCGCTGTACCAGGAAGTTGGGTAGGAACAGGAGAGGTGGGATTTCTGTGATGGTGGCAACCACCAGCGACCACTGAGAGGGAAGAAATCACATGCACATTTTTCAAGGTTCATGCTTCTCTGGGTTTAAATTACAATTACTATGACTTCTAAATTATAATGAACAAATATTGGGACAATTTCTACTTGGATATTAAATAAAAATAAAAAAGTTCATGCTCTAAATATCAGAAATCAAAACAGAAATCTATAGAGGGGATGATGGAGAGTTGTACAATAAATCAGGTTTCCAATCTTGCTCTGGGAGTGAAAAATATTTGATACATGGGGTAATTTAGTGGAAATGCAAACTGGTGGCAAAATGTTAAAGCAGGATAAATAGACTGTGCTAATGCATATTACAGAGAGAAAAGTGTGAAGAAAGTACAAAAGATTCGGTCATAGTAGAACTCAGATACCTCTCTGGAGCCATCCAAGATAGCGTTCTGCATGCATTAAGGGAAAGAGAGAATACATACACAGAGCCGATTTAAAGGGTGACGAAGTAGCTGCACTTCATAAGTTAGCAGAGAGCAGCAGTACAGCTACAGTATAAGCAACAACTGAAGCAACAAATGCATCAACAAATATAGATTCACATATCGATAATTTGGGAAATCGAATGCTTAATTGAATAGAATAAGCTCTCCCCCAAATTAAAATTGTAATTTATTTACTCACCCTCATGTGATTCTACATCAATTTCCATGAACACAAATGAGACATTTTAAAGAATCATCAGTTCTCTTGCACAGCCGACCACATCTGAAAATGCCATAATGTATTATGCCATTCATTCATGCTAGGTCTGGGTAAAAATTTAGATTTTCTGATTAATCAAGATCTTCATTCGAGCAATCTCGATTCTATGGCAGGATTCCCATATTGCTTTTCAGCGGCAACGTGTCTGTACAGTCATGGCCAAAAGTTTTGGCAGTGACATAAATTTTGTGTTTTGCAAAGTTTGCTGCTTCCGTATTTGTAGATTACTTTTCCACGTTTCTATGGTATACTGAAAAACAATGATAAGCATATCATAAGTTTTAAAGGCATTTATTGGCAAAAAAAATATAATGAGTCAATATTTACAGTGTTGACCCTTGTTCTTCATAACCTCTGCAATTCGCTCTGGCATGCTGGATATTAGCTTCTGGGCCAAATCCTGACTGATGGCGATCTATTCTTGCCTTATTAGTTCTCAGAGTTGATCACAATTTGTGGGCTTCTGCTTGTCCACTCGCCTTTTGAGGACTGACCACAGGTTCTCTATGGGATTGAGATCCGGGGAGTTGCCTGGCCACGGATCCAAAATTTCAATGTAATGATCTTCAAGCCACTTCTTTATCACTCTTGCTTTGTGACATGGTGCTCCATCATGCTGGAAAATGCACGGATCATCACCAAATTGCTCATGGATCATTAGAAGAAGTCGCTCTTGCAGGATGTTTCGATACCATTATTTATTCCTGGCATTGTTTTTGGGCAGAATTATGAGAGCGCCCACTCCCTTGGTTTAAAAGCAACCCCACACATAGATGGTCTCAGGATGCTTCACTGTTGGCACAGCACAGGACTCATGGTAGCGTTCACCTTTTCTTCTCCGAACAATCGATTTTCCAGGTGTCCCAAACAGTCGGAAGGGAGCTTCATCAGCGAAAATAACTTTGCACCAGTCTTCTGTGGTCCAATCCTTGTATTCCTGCAGAATTTCAGTCTGTCCTTGACGTTTTTCTTGGAGAGAAGTGGCTTCTTTGCTGCCCTTCTTGACACCAGGCCGTTGTCCAAAAGTCTTGGCCTCACTGTGCGTGCAGATGCTCTCACACCAACCTGCTGCCATTCCTGAGCAAGCTCTGCTCTGCTGGTGACACGATTCCAGCTGACTCCTCAGGAGGACACGGTCCTGGCACTTCCTGGACACTCTGGGACGTCCTGAAGACTTCTTCACTGCAGTCTAACCTCTCTCCTTGAAGTTCTTTATGATCCGGTAAATGGTTCTTTCAGGTGCAATATTCATTGTAGCAAGTTCCTTGCATGTGAGGCCATTTTGATGCAAAGCGATGATGGCTGCACGTGTTTCTTTGGAGGTAGCCATTGCTAACAAGAACACAATGATTGGAAGCACTTCTTCCCTCCTTTTATAGCAATCAGTCTGCTCTTACAATCTAATTAGTATGATAGTGATTTTACCTGACTAGTACTCATTTACACTTTCACATGTGCTGCTGATATTAGTCAATTAATGTTAGCTGGTCATTTTGTGTCAGGATCAAAAAACAGTGAAATTTGTTTTTTTTGTGAAATTTTTTGGCCAATGAAGTGCATCAATCAATGCATCTGATCACTCTACACAATAATCTAGAAACAATGTGAATGAACACCACAAAATTCATGTCACTGCCAAATCTTTTAATACTTAAGTACTGTAACGAAGTATTAACAAAATTTATGTCACTGCCAAAACTTTTGGCCATGACTGTACTGAATAAACGGCACCAAAGCAAAAACAAGTCAACTGAATTTGATACGATAAAAAAAACAGCAAGAGAGCAGATTTTTCTTTTGTCCTCACGGCTCACACACAGTCACCTTTATTTTATTTATATAGCGCTTTATACAATACTGACTGCGTCAAAGCAGCTTTACAGTGTCAAACAGGAAAATAGTTTGACAATAATGCAAGAGAACAATAACAAAGTCATTTTTCCAGCTAAAGTCATTTCATTGATGATTTAGTGATGTCATCCTCCAGTTCAGCTCTCTTCCAATAGTGTCTGTGCAATCAGTCACACACAGTGACAGACAGTTCAACTGTTGTAGATTTCACAAACAAATGACTCCTTCTTTAGTGAATCAAAGCACAGCATAATCAGTGTAGTCTGATTCACGACCCCATGACTCTTCTGAGTTGGTTCTTTTTAGTGAATCACAGCATAAGGCTCAATTCACAAAAAAATGACTCGTTTAAAGCGGTACTTTTCAGTGAATCATAAGAAACAGCATAATCTGATTCACAAATAAATGAGTTGGCCCTTTTTAGTGACTCAAAAACATACAGTATAACTAGTGTAATTTGATTTATGAACAAATGAAATCATATATGAGATAAAATCATTGGCTCACAAAGTCATTTGTTCATGAATCAAAATTAATCATTCAATAGGACTTACGACTTTTTGATGCTCTTTCATCGTAAGTCTATGACTTACATATTTTAGTTTATATAATTTTAAAATAATTTCATACATTGATGTTATAAGAGTTCTACACAAGAAACAATTTCATTTACTTCGGTATTTGTACTTCACAGAGCAGTTTTTGGTAGAGTTGATTATACAGCTCACGGTTCTGGAAAAACACCAGGATGAGTAAATAATGACAGAATTTTAATTTATGTGTGAACTGCTCCTTTAAACTGTCCTGACTGTGCAGGCTGCACGATGGGGCAGCTGACTAATGGGTGTGTTAGAGCCTCTTGGAAGACTGCAATCTTTGCAGAAGACTGTGAACTGATTGATTTGGATTGAAATAAAGGCCTTCTCTGAGTAATCCAGTGCAATTTGCTATTGTACACTTCCTCTGTGGGTCACTGGCTCATTGCTGGTGAGATGAAATGAGAAGTCTAGATGTCTTTTTGATAAAGTAGGAAATGCCCTACTTTACAGTCACAATGGGGCAATGATAGATTAAAATTGATTCTTCTTTTGGCATTGATCTCATAGAAGGTCTACAGTAAGTACATTTGCAGTTTATTGCAAGCCAGTTTGAGGTAAAGTACAAACCAATCAGAAAATCAGAATGCTGCTTTTATAATTGGCTATTTGTATTGCTTATAGTAACCTTTTGCCATCAGTATATGGAATTATGGGTGCCAGGAAAAGAAGTGATAACACAGTGCATGGGCACAGCAGACACTGCATCTCTACCTTGAGTCTGTTCAGGTAACGCGCAGTGTGAACCACAAGAAGATCCGCCTCGCTGGCCTCCCGGGCTAGAACAATGACCTCATCGGTGATGAACTGTTCCTCTGGAAACAAATCAATGTATCATATGAAAGCAACAATGAATGTGAACACAAATATCTGACAGTCGAATAAAAATACATGGTGAGCCGTGGAAGCTCAGCAAATTTTCTATGAACTGTAGACGTTCTGTACCGTTAAGTGAACTAATGAGGAAAAAGAGCTTGCACCGCTGACTAGTTTATCTGAAGCTGCCAGAGTTACACTTTGCCCCTGACCTTGCAGCAGCAGCTGAGAAGCCAACATCCTCTTGCTCCTGTTCCCGAAGGGAGTTCAGCTTCCCTCATTATCTCTGCCTCACTGATTGTTCCTCTCTCTATCCTTCTCTACATCCCTCCACCTATACCCGCCCCCCACAACCACCACCACCACCCTCCATTCCTGTACAGCTCTTTGATTCCTCCATTCATTTGTATTGTATTTCATAGATCACCTTACACACTGGGCAGAGTGCCTGTATGGCAAACTGCACCTGCAGTGCTGCTGCACACCTTTCAAGAAGCGAATGACCTTGCCCCATTTGCCAGCATCAAAGGGATGCAGCTTTTCCAGACCCATGAAGGTGATGTTGTACTCTGGGGAATAGACAATAGGCAGGCATGTCGAAGGGACCTCTGCGTAAAGTTCAGTTTGGTGAGAACTGTAGAAAGTTGAATATGTAATGTTATAATCATGCTCATGTGCAGCATATAAGAGAGTGTATTAAATTATTGTTTAAAAATGTTAATGTACATTATATTACATTACTAATGTGGAAAAAAATACAGCATGTGTCTGCTGTGAAATGTTTTGAAAACAATACGTACCCTTTCTTTCCTCTCAAATCTTCTTTTTTTGACATTGTGGCCACAGCATATCAATTTTCAGCTTGAAAGACATCAAAAAACAACATTAGTGCAAAATAGTCACTATTTGTGTGGCATTGCTTTTCTGTAAGGACTCTGTATTTGCTGTGTTTTATAGTTGTCATTCATATACAGATGTATTATAATGGCAATAATAATATTATTGTTTCTAATAACATACATCGTTTTGGTTTTTTTAGTATCAAGCTTATCCCTGAAGTTCTCAATGACAAAAACTACACATCCCAGAATGCCTTGCCTGTCTTGCGCAGGCGCGCTAGGAATTTGGAAGACGCAACTGAGCAGGAAATATTTTCGCTTTAGAATATCCTTCCCAAAGTCTCCGGATAAACAACTTTGACCTAAAGCGACGTGTCAAATACTCGTTGAAAGATACAACCGGACCCATCTTTACAAAGGCAATTTCTTTTTGACTTGCTTGGGAAAAAAAATCGCTGTAAATGCGAAATCGGCACGACTCACCTGCTAGCCATTTTATATTTCTCTTATTTCTACGGTGAACTTATTCGTCGTCTAAGCGTTTTTTATTAGTAACAGAACACTTGCATCAATCCTTTTAATGAATAATGTTGTTTCTCTTAAACATTTGCAGACAAGAGGATTGTGCGCACGTTTAAATCGTCTGCTTGTAGTTCCTCCCTTCCTGAAGGGAAGCTGCGCTCCTTACGCACGCGTCCCTTACGCACGCGTCCCTTACCCCTTACGCACGCGTCCCTTACGCACGCGTCCCTTACTACGTCATACTGACAACAATGCTGAACTCTGACATTTCTAAAATTAGATTTTATAAGAGTTCAAATGAGACGAATACGGACAAAATAAATTCACACTTTTATATAATCCATTAATAATAATAATTAAAAGTAAAAGATCATGTAAGACAGCACTGAATATTAATCCTATTACAATAATTATATAGTTTCATGACAGAGGAATTTGACATTTGAGCAGCTCACATCAACAGCAAGACATGGAAAGTGCTTTCTCCTTCTTACAAGACTATTTAATGCTTAGTTGCACTTTTAGTTGCAACTATTTTTTTCTTTCTCAGAATAGACCTGCAACCCTCCAGCTGAGGATCTCTGAGCCAATCCAGCTGAGGACAACAAAATGTGATGTTGTTATTTAGAAAGAACCTGTCCGGAAAAACTAATAGTCTCATTTTTAATCTATGCATTTGCATTGGTGCACATAAGCATAATTCCAATAATTTATGAGAGATGAAACTTGTACTTCACCTCATTTATTTCCTAGAGTACATGTCCCCTAGCTGCTGTCCCCAGAGTTGTAGTTACTAAAAATATCTGTGCGTGTAGCACTTGTGCAATAATGACGCCATCACCCCAGTCTCAGAGATGTGAGAAGTGAAGCTGTAACTCTTACTCACTAGCTGTTTTCTTCCAGCTCAGAGTAACCCGTGAGTAAAAACCGTCATCCAGCCGTTACGTAAGTGAGTACAATAGATAAAAGAGAATAGACGGCAATGTGTGCGTCCCTGCCCTCCCTAATTCCTTCACAGGCTGTGGTAATCTAAAGACTCCCACTGCTAGCATGTAATGTAATGGGTCTTTGCACTCCCCACAAAGTACAGTCTCACTGTGGCTGCTGTTTGAAGCTGAGGCAGCCTATGGCATGGACTGAGTAGCTTCTTTCTATAATGGAATATTTTTTCATAAATTGAGACTTCAGACTTGCCTGTTTTTTATTTAAAGAAACAGAGAGTATAGAAATATCTCCACCTCTGCAGTGAAAACTGACCCGGTCCTTAGGTGAATTTAATTTATACACTCATGACCCCTTCATAATGCAGCCTGATTCATCTGCATTTGTCTCTAAAGCTGCACATTTCTGCCCCCATCAAACAGTTCTGTTGGTTATGTGAGACATCCTGTTTAATCTCTCAAATAATTCTGTCTCACTCTCTGCCTCACCTTAGAAAGAGTTTGATGAGTCATTCAAATATGCACATTGTTTACATTGTGCATGGAGGCCAGAATAAAAGTCCTTGAGACTGAGTGACTCTCAGTCAGGGCCGTACTTATGGGGGTGCAACTGTTGCAGCCGCACTGGGCCCCGTGGCGAACGGACAGAGAACAACACAAAGAACAATAAAAATAGTTAATATTTTGAGACTTTTGATTCCATTTGAATTGGGTGGAGCCTGCGCTGACATGTTGCATTTGGTAATGACACACAAGAACCAATTTTAGTATGGCATTTTAAAATGTAATTTTAGTATCCATGATGTCAAACCTGGCACATCAAATTGTATTAAATTTTCTTTCTGTTCCTCTGAATGGCAGACCAATTCTAGGATAATACATTCAAGAAACAATCCACAAGAAACTTAATGAAAAATTATAGTCATTAATTTAAAGTGATCCATTGTTATACCCATTTATTACACATTTTAGCAGATGGAAGGTTGAAAATCAATCAGCTTAAGCAAAGTCTACTTCTAATTATTATAATTAATTATCTTTTGATATCTAACTAGAGCATTTGTCAGAGAAAGATGATTGTAAAACATCTGTTGCGCTCTGTCATTTTTCAGATGGCTTGCTGGAGGCAAGCAGACACTTCATCTGGCCTCCGATACCCGGTTGATCAGTTTCCATGACGACAGTCAAAGAGAGAAGACAGCAACTGTCCATGTTATCATCAGCAGCTTGGTTCTTACAGTGGATGTTCCAGGCTTTGTGCTCCTTTGTTGACTGCAAAGGTGTGGACATGCCGTTCCATAGGACCACTCGTGTTGTTTTCTGAGATACTGCTGCTGTATTTCCTCCAGGACCCTCACACTGAGATACTTCTAAAGGTTGACCAAAAAAAAGTAATAAGTTCGTGGGTGTGAACTCTGCCCATTTTAAGATCTTTCAAAGAAGTAGGGAATAACTCTCATACCGAGGGCTGGTGCAATTAATCTTTGAGGCGACATAAACATCAAAGGTTGCCATCAGTGCATTGCATAGAATATGAATCATTTGTTCTCCAGGTTCTGTCGGAAAGCTCTTTGTGACAGATCTGTAATGTAGGTTTTGAATGCACAGGGATAGGAGGAAGATCAAGGAATGTCTTCCCGTACAGGAATATGATGGCACTGGACTGAGAATGATCCTTAGTCTCAGACTCCTGATTAGATCATTGTACTCCACAATCTGACAGCTAAAGAGTTAAAAATCAGCTCACTTTATCTGGTTGCCATTCTAGAAAGGCCTGTCAGGATAAAACTATAACATTTCAGCACAGCCGTATGGTACGAGTTAGTTTGACCTTGAATAGTTTTGCCTCAGCAAAACATAAAATAATCCAGGTTTTGACAATTTATGGTTGGTTAACAGACCCTGTTCTTCGTTTTAAGGCACTGAGGCTTTGTTTGCTAAGGACAGCCAGGGAATAATTAACTAGTTTTTGTTGCCGTTTGTAGAATATACAAATGGATACTACAAAAATAAACTGGGGTCCCTAGAGGCTTGAGGAAGTAATTATCTTCTGATGATGTCATATAAAGGTGCTAATTATTTTAGACCATGTTATGCTACAGTAGCTTTATTTTCTCTATTATGCACTGGATTCAGCTATGCTAAATATATTGTTTTGAAAAGTTTATGGAAGACTCTTTTGGGCATTCGTTTCATGTATGAATTGAGGATACTATGTCAAATATGCTAGTTTTAAATATGTTACCCGTATACATAATTAAAAACTGAGATTTGCATTTTCATCACATTCTGGAGCAAGGAAGCTATGCTCGGTGGGCTTGACCCCATCTTTAAGTAAAAGTACTATCTCTCTGCCGAGTGAAGGAACACTTTGATTTATGTTGAGCAATACTAAAGGGGATCATGAGATTTTAGACAGAAAGCTCAGCCATCTGCAGTCAAATCCTCCCCAAGGTCAACAGTGACAACATGATCCTTAAGTAAACATACTAAAGAGCAGTTGGGATTTGCCATGCTTTTTTGGCGTTTTGAAAGAGTCTGTTATATGTCAACCACAGACATTGAGGGGTGAAACGTTCCCAAAAATATTCAAAGACAGATTCTAAACGTTATTTGCTAGAACATGTCCAAAGATACTGTGACAAAGTAGTATATGTATGTATATATATATATATATTGTGTGAGCTCATGGTGACATCATTGTGAGGTCAAATTGTTGACTGGGTATGTATATAATGGAAATTTCACACAAACAAAAGTTTGTCCATGCTGATATTCAGAATAAAGCATGATGAGTGTGATATTGTGTTGATTAACAACATAGTTCTAAACAAAGCCAAAACAGAATTAACTGTTTGGTGTCTCCAAGCAACAGATAGTGGCAGTCCTGAATGATTCATTGTTTTGAATGAATCGGTTGAATAAATGATTTAATGGCTCACTCATAAGGACAGTAAGTTTCTGAGGGTTTCTGAGTTTTTGAATGAATCAGTTAATTTCCCAAATACAAATCAGAATTAACCAACGTGCGTCTCCAAGCAACACAGATAGTTGGGGGGTGGGGTGGTTGAGTAATTGATTCAATGACTCACACATAAAGACCATCTGTTCCTGAATAAATCTGTTTTTTAACTAAAGGCTTAAAATGAATGAGTCCGTGGCTGCATCCAAAATTGTATACTAGTAGGTACTTCTTTTGACTAGTAGGTACTTCTTTTGAATAAGCAATTACTTAGCAACCATTAATGAATGTGGTTAGTATGAATGTAATCCGGATGTACTACATTTGTCATGTTGTCATTGTCATGTGAACTGCCAGCATCATTTGTGTCATTGACTGCCATTGACAAATCCTCTCCCATGGTCTCATAGGATAGTAAAGGGTCCATTGGATGCACACTTCAGAATCTCACCGGAAGTCTGCCAACTGTTTTATCAATACTGTAGATTCAGACATACTACTCCGTTCACATACTGTTTTGACCTGGTACATAATAGTAAAGTATTCCATTTCAAATATTACTTACTGTATAAAGACCGTCACTTACCACCACCTACTGGTAAAAGGTCACACTCTTTGAACCCTGCTCAACCAGGCAGATTTAATGTGAGGAACTTATACACATTTGAGAGGGTCTTCAAATTATCAGGAAATTCATTTAATATTGCATTTATTCCCTTTTGAAATGAACACACCACTCCTGGATAACATCACCCTCAAATAATAACCCACTGCCAACAAAAGTAGTGCAGATTCTGTCCTTTTCATAAAATAGTCTTTATTGCATTGCTAAAATTAAACTGACTAAACTTTGGACAGCCAAAATCAGAGTAGTTGATATCAAATGCCACAGGCTGTCAGACATTTGGAGCATTTTGGAGCTGGCAGCTGGGGCTGGGTAAAATCCAAAGCTTTGTCAAGCAAGCTTCTGTCTTCCCATCCCAACCTTGCCTGTACCAAGCCCTGAACTCCACTGCCTGCTACAACACAATGACGTGACCATGAAACAATAAGACCCCTCAATAAGGCCTGCCCACACTCACAGTGCCTGAGCTAAATATTTGCTTTGCGATGTTCTGCAGTATCCAAGATGGAACTTGTGGATATGATGTTGTTTTGCACATTGTGTTTAATAGATTTCTCATGTTGATTACCGTTTTCAGTGTGGCGCTGTAAGCATTGATTCTAGGGGCTTAAGGCTTTTTCTTAGTACTGAATTCAATTG